CTTAGATCTCGCTGCCATTGTATATACTACTTTTGAATCCCCAGTTAACTTCCCGGTCACTATGACCGTGAACTAGCACTTTCCTGATCACATGGCACTATTGTGCCCGCCCTATGTCGTGTTGACCTCAATGAAACAGTTTAATGTGAATTGCCTATGATCTCTTTGGTGTTCGTAATGAAGGCTTGCTGGGCTTTTCGTACCCCTTGTCCTATGTACTTTTTTTTCTCGTCTTCGCTGATAGCAGACTTACGAGACTTGGACCGGATTTCTTGTTTCATCTTACAGTACTTGTCGACTTCAGAGAGGATTGAACGAAATTCCTCCTCTGAGATCTTACTGTCAGTGAGTGCCGTGGAAATACGCTCACTTACCGTGTTCAGCTTTGCTTCGGCCAGAACCCTGATCTTGTCGTGTTTCAACGCTTTACGATGCAGTCTGCGGGATGCAAACTTAAGCACCAACCCTAACACCCCTGCCACCCCAGCTGTTATTTCAATGCCTAGCACTATAGGTGCGGCCACTATGGTGGCTAACAACCCAACACCTGCCGCCCCTAATCCCATGCTGGTTGTCGTAAGGACAGTATCAGCCCCGTCCACGATATTGAAAGCTCTATGGTACTTCTTACATAGTGCTTTCCGTGTGTCGCGGTCTTGTTCTAGTTGGCGTTTTACATCACATAACTGCCTCAAGCGGAACCCGTCTACAGTTTCCAGGGTCTTCGCAACTTCTACGACAGGGTACAACCCCATCCTGTGTGCATATAATATATCTTATGAGATATTTTTTAATTGGGCTTCATTTAATAGGTGATCAATGTACTTGAGGCTTATAAGGTTTGAATCCTCGTGCAGGGAAATAGGTGAGAGGCTAATAGGTAACTTTGCGCCCACAAGAACCCCCCCGGGGATTATTAAGGGGCCTATATAACCCGTTGAGGGGTCCGATTGTATGAAGGCACGGTGACGTTGGTCCCTACTGGTCGGGAGACTCCAGTATATTATCACCCCGAGTAAAAGTTGTAGTTCTGTATTACTATGAGGGGTTGTTGTGAGATGGAATTCTATGATGAGTGTGGAGCCTGGTCTCACAGTTATACGCCTCAATTGGGGATCGAGGACGTCAAATCTTAACTCACCCCTCAAGGGTGAAACTAACATGTTGCTCGTGTGATCCAGTGTTAGCTGAGCATGTATACCAACCCCCGGAATGAAAGCCCCGGGCAAGATACCGTTGTTCCTAATTTAGGAGATATACCCATCTTTGTTTAATGAGATATAAGGTGAGGTGAGGGTCATGTTGATCAACCATTCGGGTTCTTTAAAGTCTGCCAGGGACACCCGCCTATACACGTTGTCTTTCAAGTGTAGGACGTACAAGGCGTCTTCCTCGCCGGGCAGATCGAATCCCTCCGTGTCTCCTAGATCGTTAAGTGTTGCGTTGGGTCGATGACTAGTCATTGTTATATTACTATCATAAGATAGTTTCCAACTGTTTTTCTGATAATTTCTAAGGGGTGCACTTCACCCCCATGAAGTGTATGTTGTCGGGTAAGAAGATCTTGGTGAGGGATATCGTGTCTTCCATGGTCACGGTGACCCCCTGCAGATTGGTGGGGGAGTCGACACCCACCCGCACGTAAACAGTGCAAACCTGATACTGGTGCCGTTTCACCCACCGGAGTTTGATTCCCTTCACGATTTCGACTTCATCCTGCGATGGTTCCCCTAGGTAGACTTGGATGACCAGCGTGGAGTTCGCCGGTAGGCTCGCCAGGATGTTGACCACGCCGGCGAATTCAGACACCAACTGCAATGCCATGTCTTGCACTCCCGGTTTACTCGATAGCATGTGGGCTGCCATACTCGAGAGTGGGCTGATGACTATGCTATGCCTCTGCGTCGGGACGTAAGCCACGAGCAGGGTTCTGTTGTTCACGACTTTGTTTAGGTAGTTGTCTTTGTTCTCCGTGAACACGTAGGGGGAGCCGAGACTAATGTTGAGAAACCAGTCGACTTGAGCGGGTAACAACACCCACTTATCGGCGTCGGTGAATACGAGGGAATACTGCTTGTTTCGAGCAACGGCCGTTCTCTCAACATCTTCTAAGTCGAACAGTTTGCCACCGAACAATGGGTATACCGTCCACCTATCATCACCGATGCGGACTAGGTCGAACCTAGTGTTGAGGGTCGATCCTGAGGTATCGACTATATCACTTAGGTTTCTACCACCACCACCAAGGATGGGGACTTCAACGCGTTTGTAAATGCTGTTTTTAAGCTGCAAGGCGTACAATTTACCATCTACTCCGTTACCATCTGCCCTAACCGTCGTTGACGTTGCCAGCCGCTACAAGGAAGCCGAACCCTTGACCGCGAAGGATGCGGCCCAAGTAGCCCGCGGATTCGAACGCATATACAAACGCAGTCCGCTGACATGGCCAACAGAGCTGCAAGTGTCACAACTGCTAGCCAAACACGATACCAAGGTCAGGCGTGGCACGGCTGGGGTTCATCGCAGCCAAGCCATAGTCAAGAGATTCAATCGGACTTTGGCCGAGAGCTTATTCGGGCACCAGTATGCGAGAGAGATGGTCAACCCAGAAAAACGATCGACGGAATAGGTAGCGCGGCTACCTCAGGTGGTGTCGGCTATCAACCACGAAACCACCCGTCTCACAGGCAAGAAACCAGCAGACGCTATCAAACTGAAATCAGTGATAGCCGAACCGGCTGCACCATCGCGTGGGAAGGAGAAACAGATACCCGATAGGGCCCTCGTGAGGTACCTCTACCAGCCGGGGGAACACGAAGGGGACACTCGGAAACGAGCCATCGATCTGATATGGTCAGTCAAAACTTACAACATAGATAAAGTAGACATCAAAGCCGACGAGCCGAACTTGTACTACTTGAAAGATGGGCCAGGGAGAGGTTTCGTCAGAGAGGAATGATTGGTCATACCATACGGCACAATGTTACCCCCCAAGCAAAATATTTAACACTTACCTTGACTAGTAATCTTAATGGTATCCTGTCAACACGACATAGAGCTATCACATGATGAGGAAAGTGCTAGTTCGCGGTCATAGTGACCGGGAAGTTAACTGAGGATTCAAAAGTAGTATATACAATGGCGGCGAGATCTAAGGGCCTGACAAAAGCTTTATTTATGAAATAAAGCTTTACAGCGACCTTTCTTGGAAGTGATCTCGGACTATCATTGTATATACTACTCGTAATACTAGACAATTAAAAGACACATTACTTGGAACAGCTGCAGATGAATGGCATATCACTCGTTTTTGTGGATATTGATGGATACATTCCTCGAACAAGGTAATAGCCTGACATTGTTCCTATAAATTTAATCTGTTTTAATTTTAATATTTGCATTTTGTTTTTATTCATTTGTCGTAGCATTCAACAGAATCGCTGTCTTCGCCGTGAAGTGTAATGAGACATACACTAGGGCGTGTGTGCGAATTATGATTCACATTGGCAAACTATAAAATGTCTAGATATTACAGTCCTGTTATAAATGCACTATAAGTATCAGCAGATCGTCTGCTTTTTATTTAGTTTCAAAATGCATACAAGTATGATAATAAACTAATTAGGATCATAAGACCAAATATAAAGACGTACATTGACTAGTATCTACATACTGGTGAGTGGACGTTAACCACGTGAATGTAGCAAGAAATTTATTGCGCAGTATTGTCACTTCGACCCCCCACCTCGCTTCCATGGAAGAAATCGTTATGTTATAAGTTGTGTCATGCAAAATGCTTTTGGTTATGATTCAAAAACATATTTAACTACGAGTAGAAAGTAGTTTTGATTTTTTACTTGATGAAAACAAACCATAATCTCATTAATTCTAACAGACTTGAGCCCGTGACATCACGATTTTAAAAAATGGCGGCGCCCTGTCGCGAACATCTGCCAGTCTGAGTATAAATGCTATTTAGGTTTGTTTTCACAGAGTTACAAAATCAAAACTACTTTCTACTGGTAGTAAAATATGTATTTGATTGATGGCCAATAGGATTTTGCATGACATAGCGTATAACATAACAATTTCTCTCGTGGAAGCGAGGTGGGTGTCAATATAATACTACTTACAGTATTATTGTTACTTCGACCTCGCTTCCGAGGAAGAAATCGTTATGTTACAAGTTGTGTCATTGAAAATCTTTATGGTCATCAATCATACACATATTTTACTACGACTAGTAAGTAGTTTTGATTCTTTAACTTCTGTGAAGCGATCTGAACACAAGTAAGATATCGTTTCAGGCTTCCACACACGCTCGCTTCGCACTTACAAACATAACCCATTTTGCACAAACTGCGGGGGTCCTGTGGAAATCTGTGCATGGGGACACCATCGCCCGACCTCTAGGAGCAATTGACGACAACGCAACGATTTGGCATGTCTTTGTTGATGTCGAGAAACCATCAAAATGACGAGCTTGCTACACACTTTCTATACAACTAACTGAAAAGCCTTCCTCATATGACGTCACTGCAGTGCTCTGGCGACAGAGTTACATAACCTGTCTGTGGTTTCGTTGGCGGGTGAGAGTGAAGCAGGCGACTTTTTGGCAACTTTTAATCGCTCTGTACTAATTAACCACAAGTTTTTAAAGAATGAATTTGATGTTCCGCATAAGACTGACCACACATCTTTCATATGTAATAGTTAAAAGAGTAAAAAAAAAAAGTTTATTTGTTCTTTAAGATAGAGATATGTTTAAATTCATATGTAAATCACAGTGAACTTTGAACCTTTTCCAGCTAAGGCCACAACATTTTGAACAAAGATTTTTCTGCTTTGAGATTAATGTCTCAAATGATATTCTTAAATCTAAGAAAATTACCTTTGGAATAAATGAACTATGACTTCCCTGACATATGCTGCTCGCACATGTATTTTTACATATGTTAGTTAGCTGTTTAATGTCATACTCAGCAATATTCCTCACTCACCTACTCCATACACAACTGGAAAGGGCACTCCATTCACTTGTCTAGTGTTGATTTCTGCAAAAACAAATATTCAAATACACAATATTTAAACTCTTGCATTTTCATCAAGAGAAATAACTCTTTGATAATCAAGTGGGAGAATGAAAATTGAATAGTTTAAAATATATCCAAAGGACAAATAGATCAGATGGGGTATTCTCGGAACGTGGACACCCTGTGTCGTGTAAAAACAAAGTCCAGAAAAAAGTGTCCACTTTGTGCGAATGGGTTACTGAGCTAATTAACGCCAGACAATAGACAGAGTGTGTGATTGCAAGACTTTGGGCAATACTAGATTGTGAAATTATAAGGAAACGAAACAAGTTTCTTTTTTTTCAATTTTAATAAAAAAAACACTGTGTCAGCAAACACAATGATGCTGATGTCCCCACGGTCCAGTCTGACTACCTCTGTGACCTTGTTCCTAACTTTGTCTCTGAATACAATCAATATAATCTCCGTAATAAATCTAAGCTGCAAACAATAAATTGTAGGACGAAAATATATGAACAATCGTTCCTACCTGACACAATTAAGATTTGGAATTAATTACCTGATAATTTCATATTCGCTAATTCAATCGGTGAATTCAAATCTCTGCTTAAAAATGATGAATCAAAGAATTATCTAGATCTGAATTATGGCAGTCGATTCTGTCAGATTGTACACTGTCGACTTAAGCTCGGCTTTATCGGCTGATTGAATGCAGATAAAGTAAATACACACATTTCTAACAACCCTGAATGCGCTTGAGAATACCACAATGAAGATACTGTTCATTATCTTTTTACATATAAGTTATACACTGCTATTAGAAATAATACCTACTTCTATGTAAATGACCACAATCTCCAAACTGTGTTATACGGAATACCTCCGGCAAACAACGATGTCAATAAGAACATAATAGAGTCCCTGCATCAATACATCTTTAAGTCTAAACGATTTGATAAATTATTCTAGACTAATATATGTAAACAATCAATGAAGTGTAACTGCAGGCTCAAGGTTTATAAGCACCTACAATGCACATATATGATTTAATTTGTCGTTTTGTGTATCCAGTTCTTGTGTATTTTGTTTAAATGATGTATGTGCTGGTGAGGTATAGATATAAGCAAAGTTCTGCTCGTTTACCAAACCAGATTCTTCAGGAATAAAAATATGTTTAAATGAAACAATTTCTGAGTGAACTCACTCACCTATCATAGTCACATGCTTACCAGAGTGAATAGAGTTAGTTCCGGATAAAGTTCACATTTTAACACTTCCCGATCAGTTAGTCCCTTACAAAAACAACAGACGACATCAAATGTGCACCGTCTGTCCATGTCCTGCGAATGCAAAATTTCAGGTTGTCCACGTCCTGAGAATGAACCGATCAGACATCAGAGGTTAATCTTTCTGTTTTTACTGTAATTAATTCTTGTCAATAACTGTTCTTTACCAAAACTCAAGACTAAAGTCTAAGTGATAAGTTCACACGCCAAATGTAATCAAAGTCAGATTTGAGATGACACACACTACTGCTTAGAAGTTCATTTCCCTTAACTCATTAAGGCCGTGAGATGCATATGTGTGACAAATTAATTAGCTCCTCACAGTGAGTGACACGTATATGTGTCGGGTAATTAGCAGTTTCTCACAGAGAGAGACACATGTGCATCAACGGCGGAGTTTACTAATGCCTACAGGGAATAACGCCTACAGTCTATAAACAACTCTACGCACCAATGGTTTTCAATTTTACTGCTTTCAACCTTTCTTTAAAGTGGTATGTCTCATTTGAGTGTGCACTTTTGCCTACAGTAAATACAAAACAAAGACTTTCTATGTTGATGAACCATTTATTCGTCATTCATTAGTGTTCATTTTTTGTTTTCATTCATTTTTCGTACACCAATTCTGTAACCTATTTCACACTATTGTGAAAATAATTTTGGATTTAATAATAATTGTGCACACTTATCATGCAATCATTTCCATGCTTGCAGCATGCTCAAGGCGCAAACTTGCCATGATTTGCAACTAAAAGTTTGGTTACAAGCATTTTATAGCAATACATTTCCTTCTCACTTTGAATATTCTCACTCATTCTAATCTTTAGTTTCGCTCTCGAGTGAAAAGGTTCTTCTAAAATTAAATGCATGTAAGTTTTCAAAACATAACTGGACTTACTCTTTATTCCCCTAATCTCATTGTAGGCATTAGTGCATACTAATTGGAACAGTCCACATGTGTGAAGGTAAGCATATCGCTGTCACAACAAACTTTGTAGCTATTATTCCCTGTAGCTATTTTTCCCTGTAGGCATTAGTAGACATTAACGCGTCAACAGAAAGCACCTCTTATTTAGTGAGTGACACACATGTTCATCCTTACCTTTTTCATCGCAATATACGTATTATTTCAACAAATTTAGAAGTACTCAGCAAAGATCAGCATTTATTACCTTTAGTGTTGATCACAGGAAGTATTGAGAGTGTTTTGATAGCAATTATTAATCATTATTGTTTATTTACACATGTGGGCGAGAAAGGGGATTATGAGATGTTTTTACAGAGGTAAGTGTTTGGTAGTCTTCGTTGGGAGTGGATTCTAAATTGGAAATTTTATTATAAATTGTATCTTTATATACTTATCCTATCTCACGGTATGCACCTCTCTTCTTCTACGACCATGTGTGGAAACGTGCTGTAGTCTAAGTTGAATCAAAACTTCCTGGACTCTGACCACCTGACCTCTGCCCCCACTCTGATAGCAGACCTGTCAATCATCTCAATAAGCATGCTGATCGCTCAGATCACGTGACATTCTGTGCCTGTCATTCTTGTCTTGGAGCATCCAGTAATCTGTGATGTGGGGCAGGTTGGGTGGGTATCCATCGCGTGAGATAGGATAAGTATATAAATATACAATTTACAATAAAATTTCCAAATTTTTAAATTTATCCTATCTCACGGTATGCATTATCCCACGGTTGGCTGGTGGGCTGCAGATTACCCTGTGTCAGCTCTACAACCGTGAGGTCGCATAACACAAGGAGGCCAGGAGAAAGCACCAACTCCCGATATGCTAACTCCGAACTTGTGATGGGTTGCTTCTGATAACCCCTTAGCTTACACAGCACAAAAACTCAAGGGAGTGGGCGGTCCCGAATTAATGTGGTTTTTGACAAGCAAAAGGACGCAGTTTGGCAAGTGGACCCCGCCTCCCCGCGATTTATCAAGTGACACCAGTGAATTAAAGCCAAAGACCTTAATCTGGACAGTCCCTGCTTCGAAAATACCCCCCACAGATACACGCTGGAAGGCGGTGAAAGAGGGAATAGCCCGGTTGCTCAACTGGTTTAACGTTCAGTATCAATCCCCCTAACATACCAAAGGAAGAAAGAAAACCACGCAGGTAATCGGAAATCTACACTTCACTGACGTAATTGCTCAGAGAGTAGAGGTCAGTAAGCGGAGTGTAGACCACCCCTGCATGTAGCACAAGACTGGCCTCTCAGTCTATCGAGTAATATCTATGACAGTGCAGACACGCCCTGGCTCCCTAGGTGTGGTGGTCTATGCCCAAATATAATCCATACCAATAAGAAAGATAGGACCGATATCTTTCATGATATAGAGAATGCAAAACCTACATGAAGGTAGGAACTGCATCTTATCTGCGTTTGTGAGCCGACAACAACTGCTGCGCCAAAACCAATGGACCCAGTTGGTGAAGACATTCCACGTCAGTAACAGACAGATCCCGGAGGTAGGGTGAGACGAAGACCGTGTCCAGTGTAGTATGAGTGACTTCTGTAGATGAGGCAGATGACAGAGAAATAAACAGTCTCTTGCATAACCTACGACGGTCCTTGGAGGCAGTTAAAAGACCCGTAAAGTCCGGACAGGACATAGGGAGAGATCCTTGGTGTCGTCAAGGCCCAGAATATTAGACAGCGGCGGGAAGTTGAATAGTCTGTCCGGCTGTCCAGGCAACTGGTTTCAGTGACGAGATCCCACCTCAAACCAGGGAGGGCTTCGGCATGTCTGGTCCTCTCGATGCACAACCGGGTGACATCCAGTGCATAAAGCTCGGAGATGCAGGCAGCAGTCGCAAGAGCCAGGAGGAAGAAAGTCTTAAACGTGACATGCTTGAAATCCTTCTCTGCTAGAGGTTCATACTCTCTGACGTGAGATGATTAAAAACCACGGAAAGGTTGAAAGCTGGTGGCCGGAACTTCCGGGATTGATCAGCAACTTGTAAGATCTAAGGAGAGACTGGAGCTCAGGGACATTTGACACCTTTGCACCCGTAGCCGGCGCAATAACTGTGTTACGCATGGCCAGGCATGTAGACAATTTAGAACACTTCAATTCCTTGGAAGTTCTAGGATGCTGGGGGTACTCCGCGACCATCTGAGGTCGATACTGTGGTAGGAGATATATTACCCTTCGTCTTGCTGTACACTTCAAAATCCTTCCATAGTCATCATAAAGTGGCCTGCTAGAAGTTTGGTGCGCCGTGGTAATCGCCGTAGTGACTCGCTTGGAATATCTCTTTGCAGTTAGCTATTCATGTAAATGCACCAGGCGTGAAGATTAAGTGTGAGCGGAGACCAATGCAGCTGATCGGAGTGAAGATGAACCAGAAGATCGGCATGATCGGGAAGTGGTACTGGAATGGGTCGGTCAAGTCTTGCAGGTCTAGGAACAAACTTCTGACAGGCCAAAAGGGTGCGACCCAAACAGTGTCATCCTCTGCGTTGTGCGTAACTTGAGCAGTACGCGGGGAAGGAGCGCCACTGGTGAAAACGCTTACGCATTCAAGTCATCCCAGGGGATGGTGAGGTGAGGTGAAATTTAGTTTTTACGTCGTGCTTGAGAATATTTCACTCATATGACGACGTGCATGCGTGTGTATGTGTATATGCGGCTGCTTGTACTAGCCCAGACTTACGCTGGTTTTATAGTGCTAGCCCACTAAGATACCATGCCGCAGTGAAGCATGAATACCCCACTCAGAAA